GCCTGTAGTTTGTACATCTGGTATTTTACATTTTGTAGTTAACCCTTGAATCAAGGGTCAGATCCCACTCAGTGGCCATGGGCCTCGGATCTGTGTGAAAATATGTGAAACAGCCTATTGACCTATCCAATATTACACTGAACAAAAATATAAACGCAACATGCAACAATTTCAAATATTTTACAGAGTTACAGTTCATATAAGGAAATCAGTAAATTAAAATAAATAAATTAGGCCCTAATCTATGGATTTCACATGACTGGGAATACAGATATACATCTGTTGGTCACAGATACCTTTAAAAAAAAAAGGGAGGGCCTAGTGTCTGCAGGTTTTTGGTTCTTCTTTTCAATTAAGCCATAGACAACCAGGTGTGGGGAGGTCCTTACTAATTAGTGACCTTAATTAATCAACGTACAAGGGAGGAGCAAAAACCTGCAGCCACTCGGCCCTCCATGGAATGAGTTTGACACCTGTGGTGTAAGAAATATCAGGACAACTTCTCTCTTCATTAAGCAGGTTTCCATCCAACCTTTTATTTTTAGTAGGCGTACATGTCAGATAAAACATGGAATGACAGGCCTGATGGAAACAGAAAATATTTCAGTAAACTGTCCAGATGTTGACAAAACTAAATATGCTAGACAAGGTGGGATATTTTTTATCAGTAAGCAACCTGGTCTCAGAGCATTTCCTATTATTCTGTACATAAATATGAGACACTCCATTTAGAATGATATGTAAAGTTTTGTATAATAATACGAAATGCTCTGAGACCAGGTTGCGAGAAATATAGTTGGAAATGCTTTTATGCCCAAATATTGATATAATAACCATATTGAAGTAAACGATGACATTTACATTTACATTTTAGTCATTTAGCAGACGCTCTTATCCAGAGCGACTTACAGTTAGTGCATACATTTTCATACTGGCCCCCCCGTGGGAAACGAACCCACAACCCTGGCGTTGCAAGCGCCATGCTCTACCAACTGAGCTACAGGATGACAATGTTGTGTGGTCCTCCCACCAGTGGCGGCTCCTGAAAAAATTCTCAGGAGGGGCAATTTTTCTGATGATTTAGGTGACCTACACACATTTAAAAAAAGATATGTCCAGCAACAACATGAAGACAGGGGCAGCATATAAGTCAATACCAGAAGCATTTATTGACTGATCTCAAAAGTGTTGGCTTACCAGGGTTGGTGGAGCCCTCAGTTTCATCTTTGCCTCGCAAAGCTAACTCAAACACTCCGCAAAACTTCACACACTGGATTAGCCGGCTGAGGATGTGGCGGTTCTTGCTAATGTCGTAGTAAATATATTTGTTATAGTGAATATGGAATATGATATGTTGAGTAAAATGTTGTGCTAAGATCTATTTAGGTCAGGAGCTGGTTATAAGTTCTGTTCCTATCCAATAACAATGGACAAAAGGGTCCTATCTTGTCAGCCTTGTCAGCAGGTGGCCAAGGACAACACCCACGCCATAGGCCTCTCAGTTCTTCCAACTCACGAGTTCTTGCTCTGAGGACACACACACACACAAACACACACACACACACATCATCACTGTTAAACACACACACACACACACACACACATCATCACTGTTAAACACACACACACACACACACACACAAAAATCCCCTCTCTTAGGCTGAACATTTGAAGACAGAGAACCCGACTCAGAGCCAATGCAACAGTGACAGTAGCCTGCAGGGGACCTCGCCCAACTCATCAGGACCAATCAGAAGATCAGAACTACTAGATTGAACCTACTTCATTTATTGCATAAAATGTCTGCACACAATGTTTCGGGGCTCTCTTCAGATAATAATAATAATAATAATAATAATAATAATATGCCATTTAGCAGACGCTTTTATCTAAAGCGACTTACAGTCATGCGTGCATACATTTTTGTGTATGGGTGGTCCCGGGGATCGAACCCACTACCTTGGCGTTACAAGCACCATGCTCTACCAGCTGAGCTACAGAAAGTGGATACTCATGGATGCGCATTGCAATTGTAAAATGTCAACACAATTGGAGACACCACGTCATTTTTGGAGACATGTTATTGACAGTAAACTATTGTAGATGCGACTGCTAACTAACTAAAACATTTTAGCTGGCTAGCTAATCATCTTAGCTAAATGTGGGGCAAACAATTCAGTTATTTACCGTTAATTTGAGGGATTGGGGTGAAAGAAATCGAGTTACATAGTGATACTTTACGATATACTGTATTGACAATATCGCAATATTTTAGCGCTAGTTGGCTGTACCTGCACCAAAACACCATTATTGTTCCTTCATAGCTTGTTCTCAATCTTTTCACATTGGGAGCCAATTTGTTTTCAGCACTTTTATTTCCATGACTGATCAAAACTCGTTCTCATGGCTTTCTGATCCCTCTGCAACAGACATATGGTGCGCAATAAAATCACAGTATCGAATCGCAATACGTATAGAATCATGAGACTCGCAATGCTGATGCATATATCTTATCGTGAGGTTCCTGGCAATTCCCAGCCCAAGTTCATTTGCCACAACAAATCTCTTCGCTAGCAAACGCGATGTCTTCTCCAAAACGACAATGTGTCTCCAGCAATGTTTACTTTTTTGACGTTCTATGGCATCTCCACTTTCCAAGCATATATGACCACATGTAATATTTTGGTAAGTGATGCAAATAGTGAACTATGTAGGGCCAGGATGTAAAATATATGTAGCTGCAGCAATTTCTCTTATCTGATATGGTAAGTAATGGGGCTTAATTTATAGCTCCCTAAGAGTTTGACGAACGGGTCCGTGAACGCGATTCCAGATATATTTACCTCTGAATAAACTGCCTTTATTACACCATATCCACATCCAGTAAACTTGTGATTATCAACACTAACCTCATCGTTGTGGCGGCGGACAGCTAGCCTGTATCCCTCGTCATCCAGTTGAGTGAGTGGCAATGTCTTTTTTCGTTCGTACCAATTTTTGGAAAATCCTCGGGTGTAGGACTTTCCGCCTTTAGTAGAAACCTGTTGAATTATTAAATTTGGTCTGGGAGGTCCTAATTGTTTCGTTGCCAATTTATCTTCATTTGTTCGCCGACAAAAAGGAACTTCTTTCAAACAATCCACTCTTTTCTCAGTTACGTTCATGGTTACGTAACGTATGACGAAAGCGCGTAAGTGCAAGCCCACAGACACCCATTGAGATTGTATTGAAGGCTCTGAAATTTGAAAAAAATAGATTTTACATGGGAGTCTATGACAGAAGTTCTGGGCGATTTTCAATCTGACTGAAATCGCCCCAAAAGGGGGTGGAGCCATTTGAAGCACGACTTTAGCCTGATTCGACATTTAGTGGCAGTGTGGCACTGTGGCAGATCAGACGTATAGATTACAACACTGATAACTACTGTTGCCGTGATATAATTGATTAGAAAAAAAATCCCTTCCTTTTCCCGTTTGGCAGTGCGTCGCCCATATCGCCCTATTGAACAGGCCGTCCCTGCCTCCCACTATGACTCGTTGGGAAAGCATGCAGTTTATTAAGCTACAGATGCAATAAATGATGATGAACTTCAATGTGGTGAAAATGCAAGGTGATGAGCTTGATGCTCCTTTCCAATAAATACTGAGGGTCTTATTCTGGTGACATAATAATCGATGCTTGGCTGCCATTTGACAAATAAAATGAATCTCGCTTTTTTGTCCATAATAACGCACAGCGTTTTATCTGCAACAAGTCAATTTGATGGAAACATCTCTGGTGGGAAAATTAGCATATCGTTTTTATGCAGATTTTAGAATTTTCCCATGAAAATCTGTCGCCAATTGGATGGAAACCGAGCTACTGATGAATATTTAATTAACTCTCTTGGACCGTAGACCTACACAGCTGTGGCGTAGATTACTTTTCTATCAAACCCGCATCCAAACCAATCTCAGGCTGTATAGGCTGATTTTGTAGGCCTAAACATTTCATTTAGAGCAAAACATATTACACTATTATAATGAGTTAGACCTCAGTTAAAGCCTACCAAAATATGTCTAAAACACAGCACTCACTAGCATCCTAAAATCACCATATAAAAATCCTCTAATCTCAAACATTTGGTCAACAGAAACAAAATGAACAGATCTCTGAAAAACTCAAAATATTCTACATCCAATTATAGCCTTGTCATAGTGTGAATAGCTTACTAACCTAGACCTAGAAATCCCAATTGTTGGAAATGACACAGGAATACATATGGGAGACTCAATCCTTCCATAGCCTATTCAAATGTTATTTTGAATTTGAAGCATGTTGGTCAAACAGGCTATAGCCTACCTTTTAGTCTAAATCAATGTTGATCAAAACAGTTAAATAGGATAGATTGTAATGTTGCTCAGTAAAAGAATAGGCCTACATAATATTAGGTTACAGACTAAAGTTAACTATTTGCTGCACGCTCGCAGTCTGGCACGCTATCACATAAAAAAATCCTACTCAAATATTTGGTCAACAGAAATAAGGAACACATTTCTGAAAACCTCAATGTTCTACATCTAACTATAGGGGTGTCATCATGAAAATACTAAGCTGTGAGCACAAATATATTATTTTAGATACAACCGGAAATGCACAGTTAAAGTTCACTGTAAGACAAGTAAAAACAATTTTGCTGGCTTGCGAGGCAATAAATCAGCATTTTATGTGATACAGACCCAACCCAATTTGGATTCAATTCTCTCTCAGCTCGGACATGTTTTGGGTCGGATCAGGTCCACCTTGGATATAAAAAATAAATAAAAAAGACAGGATCCAGTTGGGGTCGGGTATGAATTTAATGGATTCGGTTCGGATCTCAATTTTGGCATCCGAGAAGACCTCTACCGCATCTAATATTTCATTGGCAGTAGTTTGATTATATACATGTTTGTCTTTTCTAAATTATATTGTTCTCTATCTTTCTCAGGTAATACGCCACACACCCTCCTCATTATTTAAATTAGCTGACGTCATGAGACTGATTCTGTTCTTATAAATCAAAAGTATTTTTCAACTACAGCAGCCAGTATCAGATATAGTAATACATTTTACAAGCTCGATGGATTAAGTGATTTCACAGGTGATATCGACATTTTTAAGGAATTACACACACACCATTGCTCACCAATCCGTATCAGTGCTTGTGTGGTGAACAAGATTTCATTGGAGTTTATCTCAACTGGTTGGACGAGCCGCACCCGTGGAAAGAAAAGGACCGTTGTGTCGCTCAGGTGTTTACTCCATCTTGGTGCTTTGTGCTGGACGGTCACAACGCTTACTAAGGACGTTTCATCTGTTCTCAAAGTTTCTACCATGAAGATTTGGATTGCACTTCTTCTTGCGACTTTCGCAGTGGGTGCCTCAGCTCAATGTAAGTTCATTTAATTTAGGCATTTTAACAAGGTGAACAAGGGAAAGGTTTATTCGCATGTTATTATTTTCTATGAGAAGACATGCCTTTAAAAAAAAAAAAGAAGAAAGTAGACATCTCTAGCCAATTATGATAGTTCGAGGTTATTGGTTCCAAAATTGATAGCTAACAATTAACTTTTTTTTATTTTGACCTCTGCGTTTCGCTGCCTAGCCTTAGACAACCAGCCAGCCCTAATCAAGCATTTCGGTATGATAAACCAATTGTTTATCGCCAAAATATTACAATGACATTACATGTTACGCAATTGTATTTTCTTTATACATTGGACTTAGTTATACACCAACGAGACAAGTTTCGGTGCGCTAAAGAGTGGGGGTGGGGAGGTATTGTTTTGTCTAACCAACGCCCAGTTCGCGCTCTACCTGTAGGCCTACACCCTCCATGGGAATTCCTTTGGGACTTGCTTTTAACTGCCTCCGCTCTAATAAACATGGATATTTCAACCAGGCATGTTACTCCATTACATCACCTGTTGTTGGCCTCATGGTAGTCTGATTAGTCAGGCTGTAATACACAATTAATTGGTATATACAGCCTAAAACGAAAGCCTGTGAAGTCGTGTAAATGTTCCTTACAGGCCACACATTAAAAATAATTTTACCTCGGTGCCAAACCGAACCATATACCTACCGGCTCTCTAAAAAGTCGGGTAAACAATACTTTCCTGTGGATATTTTGTCTCAAATGTCGAGCAGCTGAAGGACAAACCGCACAGAACCAACTGGTAGAATAGTTTTAAATGTCAAAAAACATTTCTCAACATTCTAGCTTGTAAGGAGCTGTACACGATTTTGCAGGCATTAGTTTCAGGCTGTACCAATTGTGTATTACAGCCTGATTTAATCAGACTAGCCTCATGTATAATTTACTGGTTTAATTTGTCTTCCACAGGCCAATGTAACAATATGAAGTGGGCTACATGCGATGGAACTCCTTGCCAGTGTAGCATTATGGTTGGAACTGAATTGACACAAAACCTGAACTGCTCTACATGTAAGTACCTCTCTCATTACTATGTCAAGCAACATTAATCTCATTTGAGAAACTTTTAATACTTCCTGTTATAAATATTACAACTAGCCTACAGACAAATGTAAAAGGGGTTTGTGGGTAGACACAGTTTTTCTGGGACTGGCGTGACTTGTTCTCATTCAGTGTTATTTGGCCTATGAATGATTCTTATATGGTCTCTTATCCCTCTCCTCTGTCAGTGATCCCCAAATGCTACCTGATGAAGGCAGAGATGTACCGTGCTAAGAACAACCTGTCCACTCGTACTGGAGGAAAGCCAGTCGAGACCGCCTTTGTGGACAATGATGGCATCTATGACCCAGAATGTGAGGCCACTGGTGCCTTCCGGGCCAAGCAGTGCAACAACACTGAGGAGTGTTGGTGTGTCAACAGTGCTGGCGTGCGCAGAACCGACAAGGGAGACAAGAACCTCAAGTGTGAGAAACTGGTGGAGACCTAGTAAGTTTCTATCATGTATCTTGTCATTCCTTGTGTATTTAGATTAAGAATCATGGGTTGCCGTCATTTATGAAGGATGTGGCTTCAGCTTTAATTGGTGTACAGACTGAGCACGTGTTATGCTAGTGAAACATACATTCAGGATGATTAAGAAAAGGTATGCTAAGAAAAGGGATATGATGCATCTAAATTCTGATGACTAGGCCATTGTACCGAGTATTGAAATCTAATCTAACCCCGTCCCTCCCTCTCTCCTACAGTTGGGTTCGCCTGGAGCTCAAGCACAAGGAGGTGGCCAAAGCAGTGGATTCTTCTAAGTTGCAGGCGTAAGTATTTATGTCCGTTTCATGGTATTCATGTACATTTTATATTATAGCACTCTTGTGAAATGTTAACACGTGCATGAAACTACTCACTGAACTTTGGTGTCCTCCTGCAGTGCCATTGCAACTGCCATCCAGACCCGTTACAGCGTTGACAAGACCCTTGTGAAGGAGGTGCAGTATGACTCTGAGGCTCGCCTGATCATCGTCGATGTCCAGAAGGAGAAGGGAGACCGCAAAGCTGACCTATCGCGTATGGCCTACTACATGGAGAAAGATGTAAGCCATGACCTCTCCCCACGCTTTGCTATTTCACTTCAGTAACAAAAATCATGGTCTCCCTTGGAAAATGTCTTGTGACCTCAGTTAAATAAACAAATTATAGTCAAAGCCCAGATTATGAACCTGTGAATATTCCATGTTATTCCCAGGTCAAGGTGCTTCCCCTGTTCACTAACCCAGCTAAGTTTGAGCCCAGTGTGGACGGTCAGAAGCTGGAGATGGAGAACATCTTGGTGTACTATGTGGATGAGGAGGCCCCCACCTTCACCATGAAGAGGCTGACCGGGGGTGTTATCGCCGTCATCGTGGTGGTCATCCTGGCCGTGGCCGCAGGACTGCTGGTCCTTTTCTTTGCGAGGAAGCGAGAGCAGAAGTACAGCAAAGCAGAGGTGAGCGTTCCACTGATAACGAGATTAAGGAAGCGTTTGAAACAACGTGTCTATAAACTGCTCCTGTTGTGGTCATGGTTTTATGAATACAACCTTCAGTATACAGTAAGGACATTCACCAAATTTAGAACCATACTGGCACGTTGAAAAACCAATTGCCCCCTGATGCCTAATGTTTTTGTTTGGTTCCTTGTCTTTCAGCCCAGGGAGCTGGAGAACCTGTAGACAACCCTTCACCTGAGTCTGTTCTGCGCTGGAATATGAACTTGTATATTACAAAATATTGTTACTTGAGAGATGCCGTTTGTAAAGGATTGGTGATTTTATTTGGCACTGTTACTTCCACCAGCATCTTTATATATAAGCTGTTGGAATTTTTAGCTTAATGTCTATACAATGCCAAAGCTACTGTGCTTCAGGATAAATGTCCATGTTGATTGAAATGCATCAATGTTTTTATTAAGTTTGAATGCCGCAGACTGTACAGTTTCATATGCATTGTGTTTTGATGGCTTGTCTGTTTTTAATAAAGTGTATTTTAAAATGTCTCCTTTGCTTTGCCTTTTTACAATTTTGTTACAATCAGTTTATTTGCCTGTAGAATGACAAGGGGTTCTTAGACTTAAAGTTTAATAGCGTTCAGCATTTGAGCCATGTATACCTTTTTAAGGTGGCTCAATGGAAAATTACTGTGCAGAGTCAAAATAATGGGGGAGGGGAACAACTGGCAACAATTTGCATGATATGACTTTGTTTGCCAGCCTGGCTAACTAATGAGGAATATACTCAAACCAAGTCCATAAAACTTATCTAAACTATTTTTTTCACCCCCTAAACTATTTTATGGCTAGTATTGGTCTTGAGCGATATCAGTGATTTGTAAATCAAACTTTATTGGTCACAGACATTTAGCAGATGTTATTGCGGTTGTAGCGACATGCTTGTGTTCCTAGCTCCAACAGTGCAGCTAAACAAGTTACTTCACTCCATGACATGCCTACTTACACAACTCTGACTTGATCCCAGCTGAGCTCGGGTAGGGTGGAAACAGGAACCACAATGTTTACTCGCACTGTATGCTTCAGAACCGGTTTTAACACTCCAAACCAATGCATTCAGTTTGTATTTGGATATGCTGGTGAAAAGACACTGGTCTGGTCACATGTTCAGTTTCTGTGATACTCTGGAAATGCGGGAATTGTTTATGAAAGATCTTGAGCTTGTTCATATGAACTGAAATGACTTGTATGTTCATGCCAGCCGACTGAGAAGGGCCTGTGTGTAGATACTATGACCCCACCTGTTTCGTGAGGGATGTGGTTAGTCAACCTCTGCTCTGAAACCATTTGGCATTACGTCAAACCTGTTTGTCAAGTTGAGGTCCTCATAATACTCTACGGAGAGCTATGTTATTACTTACCAAGAGGTAGACTGAGTGGCATGCCATCTCAGGATGGTAACCTGTATATAACGCTGTTTTAGAAAGTTAAGTCAAAATGCAAGGTCATAGCACATCAGTGTAATTCTGTAGAGAGACTGGTTAATAGTATATATATATATATATATCAGCAGCTATACAGAGACAGATTATTAGCCATATTGTTGGGTTAAGATTCACCTTTTTAAACAGTATTGTATTTGAAAGGCACCAGACAGGCTGTAATTTCCACATTAACACCAGAAGCTATCCATGGATAATCTGTCTCAGCTTGGTTTGGTGTTTGGTTCTGGAAATGTTTACTAGCAGTACAACTACGAGTAGGTAGCATTTTGGGATGTGTCATGATCATAAGTGTTACCAGGTGTTACATCAATGGACCAATGAATCGGACATCTTACTGTAAAATCTATATCATCATACATTTGGTAGACTTTCTCACTGGAGTTTCTCTTTTTCCTTTAAACAAGAACTAAAATACACACATATACAAACATAGTCCCCTGTAGCTCAGTTGGTAGAGCATGGCGCTTGCAACGCCAGGGTTGTGGGTTTGTTTCCCATGGGGGGCCAGTATGAAAATGTATGCACTCACTAACTGTAAGTCGCTCTGGATAAGAGCGTCTGCTAAATGACTAAAATGTAAAAATGTAAACAGCTTTATCAAGGAATATATAATAGGCATTTTCAATAGTCATTGCCAATTGCTTTGCCTATGTTCCCCTTTCAAATGCTTCTTCCTTTTTTATCTCATTGTTTCCCCCCTCTCCTAAGCAACACAAAGTGCCTCTAACTAGTTCAGACAGGTTTGGGTGTTGTATGTCCCCTTTCCCACTACTCCTCCGTACCTGGAATGAGGGTGGGACAGTTCCCGGCAGGCCTAATTAAGCGCCACAGCGTCAACCACAGAACAGCCTATCAGGGGACAGGAGGACAGGTAGGGGGCGGGACAACAGTCTGTGGGACACATACTGTGTAATAGGTTTCTTTTGTATAAATTTACATTTTACATTTTCGTCATTTAGCAGACGCTCTTATCCAGAGCGACTTACAAATAAATGTTATTGTTTCTTAGGACAAGGTTGTAAAATCAGTCTGTTTTATAGGATAATTACACTGAACAACACTGCTTTAAATGGCTGCTGGCAGTTAGATAACCCTGGACTGCCTGGGGATTCCAAATTCCTGTCTGAACCACAACTCCAAGGGTGTTAGTTTGCCAAGGGCGTTTATTTAAATATGTGTACAATAATGACAATTGAAATGATAAATTCTATATATAAATGTATGGCATATCAAAATAAATACCTAAAACATACAGTATAAGCTTGTATTTGGGAATGACATACAGCAAGAGCTCGCATAGGAAACAAGCAACAAACAGTTCAAAATGGATTCAGATTCTAATAAATTATCATACTGATCTACAAATATGCTTTCCAGTTATTCAAAATTGATGCTTTGGTTTAAATTCATATCCTCTGAGGGAACTTGTCAACTGTCACAGCTTCCCAACCCCCTCTCACTTCCACTGTCATACCACACCTTTACTTTCTGAGATGTCTCTTTGCCCTCACAAGCCCACAATTCTTGTGAAACAGCACACATGCTTTTCAATCACTGTTCAATATTATTCCATAAATCCACTCTCTCAAACACCACATCCTATCACTGAACAACAGCCTCTTTGTTAAAGTGGCACTCCAGTCTCCTTTTCACCTTATTTAACACCTGATTTGCTTAACACTATTTTGCTCAAAACATATTTTTTTTTACCCTTTAGTGTGTGTACTTTACTGTATTTATACATGGGATATCGTTTTAAAAAGTTCAAAAATCGCTTCATACCCCCCGTGGTAATCTAGTAGGTTGAGTTTCGGACCCTTTCAGTTTCACAACACTACGAGCCACTCAGTAACCCAGAGGCAATAGGGCGCGACCATATCTTAACATTCCAACTACTCTGTTCATAAAGCATAGTCTTTCTCAATACTGTACTATACCACAATACTGTGCATCACTCACTTCCATTGCATACTTTCCTATGTCTCCACTAACTAGCCACTTACACCTATCCCTTTCCTTAATCTATGTAGTGTATATACAATTAACTTTTCATAAACTAAGCCTCTTCATCTGTGATGCGTGATTTGAAGGAGTCAGGCGCAGGAGGGTAAATCACAGTATACTGAGTTTATGCCGTAATCCAGCATAACCAGTCCAGTGCGCAAAACAGGCGCACTGGAACAAAAATGCACATGGGGAATGAGGGGAATATGAACCAGGTGTGTGTAATTGACAAGACAAATGGAATGAGGAGATATGGAGCGGCAGTGGCTAGAAGGCCGGTGACGACGAACGCCGAAGCCTGACCGAACAAGGAGGGGAGGCAGCTTCGGAGGAAGTCGTGACAGTACCCCCCGCTTGACTCGGGGACGGCCAGGAGGACACGGAGCAGGGCGAGCCGGATGGCGACGGTGGAAATCCCGCAACAGGGAGGGATAGAGGATATCCCTCACCGGGACCCAGCACCGTTCCTCCGGACCGTACACCTCCCACTCCACGTGGTACTGAAGGCCCCCCACCCGACGCCTTGAATCCAGGATGGAACGGACAGAGTACGCCGGGGCCCCCTCGATGTCCAGAGGAGGCGGAGGGAGCTTCCGCACCGCAGACTCCTGGAGCAGACCAGCCACCACTGGCCTGAGGAGAGACACATGAAACGAGGGGTTAATACGGTAATCATGGGGGAGTAATAACCTATAGGTAACCTCGTTGATTCTCCTCAGGACTTTGAACGGCCCCACAAACCGCGTGCTCAGCTTCCGGCAGGGCAGGCGGAGGGGCAGATTCCGGGTCGAGAGCCAGACCCGATCACCCGGTACGAAGACCGGGGCCTCACTGCGGTGGCGGTCAGCGTTGGCCTTCTGACGATGCGTCTCCTCCGTCCCACGTCTCCTCCGCGCGCCGAAACCAGTCATCCACCGCAGGAGGCTCGGTCTGGCTCTGGTGCCATGTTACCAGAACCGGTTGGTAACCTAAAACACATTGGAATGGCGTTAGATAGTGGAGGAGTGACGGAGAGAGATTTGGGTATATTTGGCCCATGGCAAGAACACCGACCACTCCCCCGGCCGGTCCTGGCAGTAGGACCGCAGGAACCTACCCACATCCTGATTTACCCGTTCCACCTGCCCATTAGACTAGGGGTGGAAACCAGAGGTCAGGCTGACCGAGACCCCCAGACGTTCCATGAACACCTTCCAGACCTTAGATGTGAACTGGGGATCCCGGTCAGACAATATATCCTCTGGTACCCCGTAGTGCCGGAAGACGTGTGTAAACAGGGCCTCCGCAGTTTGAAGGGCCGTGGGGAGACCGGGCAGAGGAAGGAGGCGGCAGGCCTTGGAAAAGCGGTCCACAACGACCAGGATGGTGGTATTACCTTGGGAGAGGTGAAGGTCGGTAAGGAAATCAACACTCAGGTGAGACCATGGCCGTTGTGGAACTGGTAAACATTGTAACTTACCCGCTGGGAGGTGCCAAGGTGCCTTACTCTGGGCGCACACCGAGCAGGAGGAGACATACACCCTCACGTCCTTAGCCAAGGTAGGCCACTAGTACTTTCCGGTTAGGCAGCGCACTGTACGACCGATACCTGGGTGACCAGAGGAGGGTGACGTGTGTGCCCAGTAGATCAGACGGTCACGGATAAGAGCAGGCACGTACTGCAGCCCAGCTGGACACTGAGGTGGAGATGGCTCTGTGCATAACGCCTGCTCTATATCCGCGTCCATACTACCGGCGCCACAATGTAGGAGGCCGGGAGTATGGGGGTGTTGTCTCTGGGCCTCTCATCTGTGTCATACAGCCGTGACAATGCGTCTGCCTTCACGTTCTTCGTACCCGGGATGTATGATAGTGTGAAATCAAACCGGTTGAAGAATAGGCCCCACCTGGCCTGGCGAGGATTCAGCCTCCTCGCAGCACGAATGTACTCCACGTTACGGTGGTCCGTCCAGACGAGGCCAATGCCTCCACACGGTAGGGGCTCGCACAACAGCCAACAGCTCCCGATCACCAACATCGTAGTTCTGCTCCACCGGGCTG